TGTGAGAGTAGTCCACTGCCAGGCAAACCATACAGGTCATAGCCCGCTCAACGACACACTGCGTGCCAACCGTGCACCGCACACCTACTGAACAACAGCACGTTGGATCGAGCGCAGGAAGGCTGGCGATGCTAGATGAACGGGTTTGGGAAAGGAGGGGCATGAAGGGAAGTGAAGGGCAACGAAAGGAACTGAAGAGAACTGAAGGGAAACAAAAGGGGATGAAAGGAAGTGAAGTGAAATGAACGGAAAACGAACTGAATGGAACTGAAGGGAAGGGGCATACAAGGAGATGAAGGGAAATGCAGGGAAATGAAGGGAAACAAAGGGGGCTGAAGAAAAGTATATAAAGGGAGAAAGGAAGGGGCACGAAAATAAATGAAATGAAGGGCAGGGTTCCTGGCGGCCAGCTGTTCTGCGTCAGCGTCCACTGCTCATTCTTGATGGCGTCATTCATTGAAGCTGGCAGCAAAATAACTGAGACACATACTCTGGTGCCCGCCCAAACACCCTGAAGAACGTCATAATAGATTTGATGCCCGCCTGGACTGGCACAATTACAGTAGCACTTGCGCCATGCATGAAAAACCGGTGGAATCCTGGCGTCATGCTGGGTGCTAGCCAAAGAAGAACAGATCTGGTCACCACATGCCAGCCGCAAGCCGCAGGGCATGCTTGCCGCGCTTGACCGGCAGCGATGCGATCTCTCACCGTTGCAGTGGCCTTCTTTAACATCTCCAAATTATCAGAACTAGTGCTGTTGGCCTCTGCTAAATGGTGGCCCAAAGAGGATCCCTGATTTTGACACATGTTTATTGTTCTCAGTCATCAAAACCACAGGATACCTTACCACATTAAACATCACTAAGGAGACTAACTCGAGATTTGCCACATTGTGATACTACTATTGGGCGTCTCCTTTTTGAGGGCACCCCTACTATTTGTGGTTTTTAAGGGAAACCAAGCGGAAACCACCATCTTGGCCCTAACAAAAGAGACATCCACTTTGCAACCTTGGGGGATATGCATCTAGGCGTAGCCCCGAACCTCCCTGTCGCGGCACTCCATGAGCACATCGTCCTTGCCGACCTGAGCGTGAGAACTCCGAAGTGGTGCCCTTTTCGGGGTGGCTTGAAGGGAGACCAACATGAGCGACACATACCTACATCACCCAAGGAGATGCGCCTGAGAAAAAACTAGGTCAGCTTAGCCCGCAACCACGAACAATGTTTGATTCTGGTCACCTTAAAAGCAATGCAAAACATGGTCAACATCGATCCCGGATCCAACGATACACTTGCAAGTCGGCAAGCAGGCGATGTTGAAGCGCAAAAAAAGGGAAGTCGATAACAATCCTGTCCAACATGTGATCTCGGCAAACTGCAGCATTCCCAATTGTAGGCTCTCACGGCAAAGGCAAGCAAAGCAGCCCTGAAACTCACACTTGAAGGTTCCCATGTTCAATTTCAGTGCGGTGTCCCTTTGCCTTCAAGCCATCTCAACAGATCCCCCAACCCTCGAACTGCCCTTCAAGAACAAACTTCATCTCAGAATCCTTCCTTCCCTCTTGAGCAATTTCCTATCAGTGGTTGTCAACCACCAGGGGACCGCAGGTTTTAGTCCTTGCTTCCATTATCCAGGGCATTTTCCATAGGGCAACCCATTTGGGACATTTTTTGACCCATGCCCGTGTCATATGCGCTACTTCTCCGCTCTGGCGCTCGGCTCCAAACGCCCGCCAGGAAGCAGCGCACCTGCGGCTTTTGCGCGCTCTCCACCTGGCCAACGAGTACAGTGGGTGGGGTGGGGTGGGGTGGGGTGGGGTGGGGTGGGGTGGGTGGGTGGGTGGGTGTGTGCGTGTGTGTTTGTTTGTTTGTTTGTTTGTCTTTTTGTTTGGTGTTAACCAAAGGGATTGAGGTGGCTTTGAACCAAACTAAGAAAAACACTGCGAATTGGCTCCATCAACAACCTAACAGGCTCTTGCAGGAACCAGTACCATGAGCAATAACAAATGTCTGTATTGTCAACCACCCACTGATGCAACAGCTCATCATAAGGATTGCTTTTGCATCAAAAGGAAATAGAATACAGCATGCCTGATCTACCAGGGTTTGCTGTCACAAAACGACGCAAGCTACGACTATTCACACTGTAATGATATAAACTGTTTGAATTCTCACACCCATACTATCATAGTTTGCTATCCTCCCTCACACAGTTCTCCTGCCAGCCGTGCCTAGGGGTCCAAACCGCGGATGGCTTCGCTAAGCGGGACGCAACCGCGGAAAAGAAGCAACCTGTTCTCCTCACGCCCTGATTCATCACGTGGGATGGTCAATCTGAGACCCTCTGTTCAGTCTTTTCTGCTTTGAAACCTTCCATTTGCTTGAGCCCCTGAAAAAAACACAAAAACCCAGTAGTGATAAGCAGTGATTCCCTCTAAAACCAAAAAGGGACAATCTTCCATTTGCTTAAGTCCACCGGGAAAAAAAACATATTTTTCCAGTAGTTGTAAGTTCCGTTTAAAATTAAAAGGGGAAAATGAAAACATACTCATTTCCGCAGCAGTCTTGCCAGAAGCCAACAGGGGCGTACCCGTCTGGCGAGAGTTCCGAGCCTCCCCATAGAGGACGCCCAGGCAACCTGCCAGTTCAGTTGCAGCAGATCCGAGCTCCACCGATCCCCCACCAGGTTTTGTTTTTCTGTGTTTGCTGGCCCATACACCGAAAGGCAGCCCAAAAAAAGGGTGGAAATGGTTGGGGTGCCCTTCCTCACCACCGAAAGGCACCCATTTCAAGGCCCTTCTTTTTTGCATGGGGTTGGAAATGGTTGGAAAAGAGTGTGCCCTTGACATGGGTGTGATATATTTCATTGGGGACCGGGACCAAACATGCCCATGGAACGCAAAAATACGGCCGAGTAGGGATGATGCATAGACCCAAGTATCCCAAAAAAACGAAGACCAAACTCCTGCAACACACCTTGGAAGTTCTTGGAACTGCTTCCCAACGCATGATGCAAGCTCCAATCTTGATGTGCGGGGTAGAGTTGGGGAATCCACGAAGCATGCCACGCCAGGTGCACGCTCGGGGGCTTGGTGAAGCCACATGAGGAACTCGGTTGCTCCCCTGCTAAAAGTTTAACTTTTAGTGGTTTAATGGAAAACCCATTCATTAGCAAAAACTTAAAGTCCTAACCTCCAAGCAAAATGCAACAAAGTGAACCTACTGGCTTTCGAGCAAACCCTGGCGAACCCATCAAGACTTCGCGACGCAGGGTCGGAGCTCTTCCCATCGGAGAAGGACCCACCTCTTCGAAGTTCGGATATTCTCTGTATGCGCTTATAGTATGTCCAACCCCAAATAAAGGACCTACGTAGCGTCCTCGATTCACCAGGTAAAGTCGCCATAAATTAACGGCTTGGTGCCGTTTCCTGCCGCCTTGAAAAAAATCATTGCCATATTGAGTCAACTCGCCATCTGATTTTTCAATCCTGCCACAAAGCACAAAACGATGCGCGGCTCCGTTCCCAATGGTTATGTCGTCTTCAGCGGGTTCTCTTGAATCCCATGTTGAGCCCGGCGAGTTCGTGGGTGAGGGCCCAAGGTCAAAGGTCAAAACCAAACGTCAGAGGGACACCATCCCCGGCAGCCTGGCGTGTCCTCACAGCGGAGCACGCAGGCGTGCGCAGAGGCACCTACCGGTTGACATGTGCCAGGTCAAGGGCCAAGTGTTTGGTGTGGATTGCCCAAAGGGCGTCCGTAAGACCACACAAATACATAGGCCATATGGCGACAACATGCCCTTGACCCCCATTTCAACACGGTGCCAGGGTCCCAAAAAGGGCCGCGTTCTTTCAACACCCCTCCTTTGAAGGCTTGTTGCTATAAAGCCCGCAGCCTCACATATTTGTGGATGCCGTGGGGCGTACCGCATCTTTAACTTGCACGAATGAGTTCATCCATCCTCATCAAGTCCGCGCACGGAAGTGGTTCCTGAGTTCATCAGGTCGCACAGCTCCCTCTCTTGAGTCATCCGTTCTCAAGGTCTACCGCTCTACCCATCATGCCAGTGAAGAATTTGGCGAGCGGCCGCGGTTGAGACTCTTCCCAGCCTTGAATTAAATTACTTGGGTGTGCTTGGAATCCATGGAAGATAGCACCGAACTGTATGGAGGAGGCGCTCGCATTTGAGGGCTTCCAGCAAACCACCTGGTTGTAGGGATTTGTAGGGCACCATTGTCCAGGCTGCTTACCGGGAAAAACAAAGCTCAATAAAATTGTATGTTACCAACCAGCTTTTAGGGTGTTCTCATTGTAGTAAAGCCCAACTATATTGCACGTAAGTGAACGCTGTAATCCGCCGACCCTCTGCCTCCCGTCCCAGCCTCCTGCAGAGGGGACCGGCGTGGGATGCAACTGGAATGAAGTGGTTATAAGTGATTGGAATCCATGATGGATTTTTGGTCATTGGGGCACAAAAAGTGGCTTCCCAGGACCGGATGTCCCGGAACCGGTACTGGTCCTGGGACCGTGGTCCTGGTGCGGACCGGTCCCGCGACCGGTTCCAGCCTGACCAGTCCTCCAGGACTGGTTCCAGGAGTCCTGGTGCGGACTGGTGTCGGATAACCGCTCCCGCTCAACACCCGCCGCCTCCAATATGTCGATTCAAACCGCTCCAGACACCTGTTTCCGGACTGGCACCCGTGTTTCAGGCCCTCACCCGTCCCAGGGGCAGTTTGGCCTTGTTTCTAGGACCGCTCCCAGGCCAACTCAAAGTGACTTGGGCGCAAACCGGTAATTGACGGACGAGCTGCCATCTTTCTTCTGCAAGAGAATCCAATACGTCGATTCAAGCCGCGGGCCAGTTTCAGGACGAATCCCGGGAGAGGCCTTGGCCTTGTTTCTAGGGCAAGTGACTTGGGCGAACCGGCCAAACGGTAATTAACGTACGAGCTGCCATCTTTCTGACTTTTCCGTTAATTCTTGTAGTCGCAGAGGATCTGATAAGTGGTCCCTGGGTTTGTGGACTGGCACCCGTGTTTCAGATGACTTTTCCCTTAATGCGCCGAGGGTCGGCGGCAGCAGGCAGGAGCCTGGTTAATCCGGCTACGCCTTGTGGGGTAGCATGTCGCCGCTAGGCAATTAGCCTGCTAGCTTTAGCTATAGGGGCTGCACCCTGGCGCCGCCGACCCTTGCCACTTGGTCGTGATGCGCTGCCTAAATCCGGCACCTCTGCATCACCAGCTCGGGCTTGCGGTTTTGCTTGCCTGTGGCAAACCCTCGCAAAACATCGCGTATATGCAGGGTTTAGGCCATGTGGCTTGGGCCTGGGTGATGCTTCAGCGGGGCTTGGTCTGCATCATCAAGACTTCCTTCCAAAAAGCCTCTCAACCCATGAAGCGCTGCTTTCCCGAAAGCATTGCGAAGGTTTGCGGAGCTCTTGGTCAACTTGCGCAGAGTAGCTTGCACAGAGTCACCAGCATGGAGATACCAGGAGCTCTTGGTCAACTTGCGCAGTGTAGCTTGCGCAGAGTCACCAGCATGGAGATACCAGCATGGAGATACTCGCGCAGAGTTACTAGCACACAGTAGCTTGCACAGAGTTACCAGCATGGAGTCACCAGCATGGAGATACTTGCGCAGAGTCACCAGCATGGAGTCACCAGCATAGAGTTACTTGCGCAGAGCCAAGTGCAAAGAGCCAAGCGCATAGAGCCAAGTGCTCAGAGCGAAGTGCAAAGAGCGAGGTGCAAGGAGCCAAGTGCACAGAGCTAAGTGCACAGAGCCAAGTGCAAAGAGCGAAGTGCATCGAGCCAAGTGCATAGAGCCAAGTGCATAGGTGCAAAGAGCTAAGCTAAGCTAAGCTAGGTGTAGATGCTCGGCGTTAGCAGCTGTGTAAGCTAGGTTAAGTAAGTTAGGTTAAGCACTTAACGCGCGGGAAAGAAAGAGAAAGAGTTCGGTATTAAGAATCTCTTTCTTGGCGGGGGGTGGGGATGTTGCCGGCGATCGGGAATGCGACCCTCTGCGGGGATCGGCGTGGTGGAGGTGCAAAAAATTGATTTTTTTGTTTTGCGTTTTTGTCGGTGCGCGCGCGACGCTCTGCGGGGATCGGCGTGGTCGAGGTGCAAAAACTCGTGTTGTTTTTTGCGTTTTTTTGCTTTCGAATTGGTCTTTGGCAATTGTCTCGTGGTTTGCGCGGCTGCTCTCCGAGTCGCGCGGTCGCGGGTTCGATCCCCGCCTAGTCCGCGGCAGCTCTGGCTGCAAAATCGGGAGTTTTAAGTACAAAAGTAGTACGCGGAGTACATAGTCGCAAATTTTAAGTACAAAAGTAGTACGTGGAGTTCATTCCCGCAGCTCCGGCTGCAAAAGCACAAATTTTCATACAACAACCAGTACGCGGAGCACATTCCCGCAGCTCTTTCTCCAAACTCGCAAATTTTAAGTGCAAAACTAGTACGCAGAGTACAGTTCCGCAGCTCCGGCTGCAAAATCGCAAATTTTCAGTACAAAAGTAGTACGCGGAGTGCAGTCCCGCAGCTCCGGCTGCAAAATCGCAAATTTTGAGTACAAATCTAGTACGCAGAGCACAGTCCCGCAGCTTTGGCACTTGCGCAGAGCAACTTGCACAAAGCAACTTGCGCAGAGCAACTTGCAAGCAGCACATGCGCCGTAGAGCAACTCGCGCAGAGCAACTTGCATCAGAACGCTTGCGCAGAGCAACTTGCGCCGAGCAACTTGCGCCGAGCAACTTGCGCAGCGTATCTCGCGCAGAGCAACTTGCACAGAGCAAGTTTATCCCTTCCACACACATGGCTTTCAATGCTTTCGGGCCAATCGTCCTCTAGTTTTAGAAGGTATCGGAGTATAAGCGAGGCTCATTTTCGCGCATTTTGGCGCCAAGCGCTGCTGGGCATGCCGGCGATGCGGGGTCCTCGCTCTACAAAACGCTGTAAATGCCGTTAAAAACTGCTGTGCTGAGCGGTGGGCTGTTGTTCTGTCCTGTGTTGCTTTTGCTGTGGCTGGCTCGCGTGCTGCGCGGTCCTTGCTTTTTTCCCGTTGGTTTTCGGGCCTTCTGGCCCGCGCGCGCGACCCCAGCCACAAAACGCTGCTATTTACGGTGTTTTGTTGCCTTGCGGGCTGCTCTTTTGGGCTGCTCTTTCTGGGGCCTCTGGCGCGCGCGCGCGCGCGCGACCCCATGTCAGCCTTCTGGGTTGGGGCCCGGCTGGGGCCATCTGGGGTTGGGGTGGGCAACATGCATAACCTAACCAGCCATATCATAGCACAGGATACGTTTCTCATACAAAAAACATGACATGACATGGTATAACTTCAAAGAGGCGTAGCCGGCTAGAGGCCGCAGGCCCAGACATATAACGCACAGTTGCCAGGTGTTCTTGGTTGACATGTGCTCGTTTGACTTTGAATGTGTGGGTTCTGCAGATTAGGGACTCCATCCAGGCACCTATTTGGTTGGCTTCCTGATCTTCCGATCAACCACCGGCTTTACCCCCTTTTGGTTGGTATTTTAAGGGACACCAAGCCGAACACCAACCATTTTAGAGGACCCCCCATCTTGAGAAACCCCAATTGGGGAATCCACCCTACCCCCGTGCCCGTGCCCGCCACTTGTGGTGCCTGGCAGCTCCTTGGTCCAGGTGCCTACCACGCACCGGCCCCGGGAGTACCTGCAGTGAGGCACTGGCGGTTGCATCGATTGGAGCATGTGGCTTGGTCGCGTGTGAAATGACCACTGTGATACAACAAGGGCCGAACCCCAAAGACCTTCATCCCCATATAAAGGGGGAGATTCCCCACAGTATCACAGAAGTGGTTGGAAAAACCCCGAGTGATCCCAGAACCCTGGCTTGTCCTACGGGTTGCATCGGCTGGAGGATCTGGGTTTCTCCTGAACGGAGAGCTCCAGAATGCTTGGCTTCCCTGTCCTCTTCAATTTCCCTTGCGTTGTTCCTGTGGCAACCTCAGAGAGGGGCCTCGGCACAGTGCCAGGTCAAGACTCGCAGTCGAACGCAGGGCATGATCCAGAAGATGAATCATGATCATGCTCGGCTGAAGCTTCAAACAAGACGCCAAACATATGAAACGACTCCAGACTGCAACATGACAACAAATGCGGCAGATTGGAAGTCATGAGGGTTTAAATGTGAAACCTGTTTTTAAATGGTGTTGAAAGGGAAACAACCAACCACCAACGCTTCACCATCCACAATCCACTTGAAAAAGCCACCTTCAAAACGTCAGGAGCAATTTTCCCAAACATGATCCAACCTGAAAAGACAAACAAATAACCGGGTGTGCCTTTTCTCTGGTACCATTTTTTGTTGCTTGAAAGGAAAACCGTAATATGGACCACCACAATTTGGGGCGTTCTCTAAAAACATAACCTAATGGTAGATTGCTCTTGACAGGACTAAGTCCATGGCCGGTTTGCAAGATGCCCCGGAAACGGAGCTAGACGACTGAAGGGGGTTGAAGAATACTTGGGCAGCCGCGATTCTGACCCAGCTTTGTCAAGGTTTCTCTGCAAAGCTCCGTCTCTTTTTTGTGGCTGCACTCCTTAATTGCGTTAAACGCGGAACCTGACTCACATGCCGCCCAGGACGGTCTTGGCGCGAATCAGGTTCTCCTTCTCCTGTGCCAAGACCGGGTCGATGCAAACGACCAGCTCAGCATCTGATTGCCCGGCCCACAGAGCAAGGTATCATGCACGTATGCATTTGAACAAACCCACACAAGGCGACACATGTGTGCACTTCTGCAAGTGGTTGCGCGCAGTCAACCACAGCCCTTGCATGTTGCAAGGTGTTCAACTACTTTCAGTTGACATGATCGACATGGGAAACAACAAACAATTGCCAGAACCAAAATCTCAAAAGATGCCGCTAGGATGACAGCAAAATAGTGGTAAACGACAAACACCCCAGATGAGACACATCCGCCAGTCACGACCCTCCACACCGACCAATACTTGAATCATATGGCCCCTTTCGTGGCCAGTTTTGTCTTCAAAGGAGTAAGCTGGTGTGTGTTACACAAATGATATCATGACTGGTAAACTTAGAATGACACGTACACATGCCATGTACTACATTGCGTCATTGCTGCCAATATCTACCCCTGAGGGTGTACCCATGAATTTGTACGCTCCAATGTACTGGCTATCAAACTGTACCCTGTTTTTATACCATGAATGGGTTACATAGTTTGGAGCCATCAGGCAGAGTGCGGCACTTGGGCGGGCGTCTTTTGGCTGCTTTTAAGGAACACCCAATGGACACCAGCATTTTTTGCATGTCCCCTACGACACACGCGGTCTCGTAAGGGAATTCCACCATCGTCCCGGCCCTGAGCCATCCCACCGAGCCACCCCCCCGGCCTCGGTGCGTGCCTGCACGCGCAGCTCGAAGTTCTTCAAGAGCCAGTCGCACTCCTGGCAACATGTCGCCACCTGCGGTTTCCCGCCGGGTTGTGGAAAGTCGCCCCTTTTGGAACCAAAGAATGCTATGACATGACTCCTTGATCACTTCGAAGGGGTTACCTTGATCACTTCAAAGGGGCTACCTTGTCATACCGAAAATGGCTGAACAACAAAACTACGATGTTCCGCGACTGCATGGCTAGAATGCCAGCTCCCTGAAGCTCACCATGCTAGTCTACAATGGGTGGGCTTGACATACGACTCAGGCTTGGCGCGACCAACCTTTCGCAGCTTCAAAGGTCACACGGTCACATGTGGCTGTGGGTCAAAATAGGTATCCAAAATGGAACCCTGGTAAATGGAAACATGGACTAAAACCTGCGGTCCCCTGGTGGTTTAATTTTGACCCACAGCCATATGGATTTCTCGCGGATCACATCACCAGTCCCAACACAGGGCCAGGGTCTTGACAAGCCCTTCCCACCAACACAAAAGCACATCAACACAAAAAGCAAACAAGCACGCGCAAAGGCAACCAAGAAAGGGCCCTGGACAACCCCCTCCCAGCAACCCAAGCACACCAACAAGAAAGCAAACAAGCACAACCGAGACCAAAAGACGCAAACAAAACGAGCACAAACTCGCCATGCACCTGCCTGGTGCAAGTCCTCGGTGTACTTGCCAGCAGCCACCAGCTCCTCACAGCCATCGCCCCAAAAACAAATGCCCTTCTTTCGGGTTCCATCTCTCGGAAGAATCTATACGGGCAGAATGGAAGTTAGGATCCTGAAATATGGGTGTGTGTCAAAGTGGGGAAGACCCCCACAATGGTGGTGGTTTGATTGGTTCCCTTTAAAACACCCCCAAAAAGGGTACCCTTGAAACAACAGACACACACACACATAATATATCCAAACCCATAGCACTGTAGTAGCAAGAGCCCAAGACCAAATTCAGCAGGAACATCAAGGAACATTACATGAAGGTTTCCGGCTCCACCCGAGTCCGAATAAAGCGTCATGGTTCGGGAATGCTTTCATGCCGAGCATATAACAAACGAGCAAGCGAAGAATGATAGAAGCGTCAAGTTCGCAAGACCTAGCCAACATGCGTTGCAGAGTACCTCGTCTTTCAGTGCTTCCAGATAGCGTCAGGGAAACTAGGGGAAACCGTTTTGTAATAGCTGGAGGCAACCATACCATTCCTGATAACCTACTTTTGTGCTACATGGAAGCACCGGGGGATTCCAAGCTGTTTAAGCATGCCGCTTACGCCGTCAGGGTCAACATGCAAAAGCGACGCACTAGACTCTGATTGGCTTTGTGCAACTAAAGTCCAAAATGCGTGCTTCCCGCTAAGATCCTCTACGCAAAAGTACAATATCAAGTCCCGAAAGGGAGTGCAGCCAAGGGAGAGCCACATACGGATAAACCTGCACAAAGGGCATAGGAATCCTCTTGCTTTCGTGGGACTCCAAAAGCGGGGGCTGAAGCCCTGGTTGAAAGCTGGTGACCCCCCTTTCAGGGTCTACAAGTCTCACCTCCAGTGTCAATGACTCTGGGGGGAGAGGAGTCATGACACCGGAATGAGGTTTGGTGAGTCAGTGGTACCCCCCCCTCTCCCCTCTCCATGCCCTCGGGATCCCTCGATGTGTAAGCCGCGCCTTCTTCTTGCCCCCCAGGTCCGTCTGGTCGTCGTTGAGGTCCGACTCCAGGTCCGCCTTGTCCGTGACCTTCTGCTGCACCAGGGCCAGGTCCGCCTGCGAGGATCTGTGACATCCGCATGAAAAACCTGGAGGGAGTGGGTTTTTGGTGGGTATTGGGCAACCAACCAGTTTATGAAAAGGGGGAACATTGCCCTCCAAAAGTGGTCTGATTCCCAAACCCAAGCACCCCCCCCCCCAAGAAACTGAAGTTGATGAATATGGGGTCAACATTGTCTGGCTAAGCTTCTGTAGATCTTCCTGTAGAGGTTTCTGTGAGAGGAGTCTTTTGGGGTCAAACATCTACCCAGTCACCCGTTTCGGGGTCACCCGTTTCGGGGTCACCTGTTTCGGCGCCGCCTTTCAACGAGGATACCAAAAGGGCCACGACGCAAGCATGCCCTTACCCCTAACCCCGGGCAAGCTCAAACCCATTTGATATTTCACCCCGCCATATAACCCCAATCAACCAATCCCTGAGAGCCACCTGAGGGGCAGCCTCACGGGTGGACAAAACACAGGGCTCCCAATACTCGCCATTCAACAGGGAACATCACCCGACCAGGAAATCCAAGATCGGTCCGCCTGAAGAAAACTACTTGCTGGTTCTCAGCAGGAAATGAGAAATGGAATGACCCCTATAAACCCTTCCCTGTGGATTCCCTTTAAGGGAACCCCTAGGTTCATTCCCAACACTGTGGGTCATTCCGGGAGCACTAGCAGGACTAGTTGGACCCGTTTCGGGCGAGCCTCGCGCTTCGCGGTGGCGTCCTTCACGGTGTCTTGATAGTCAACCTGGGAGTCATGGCCGTGAGACGAAACTTCACCCCAGCTTGCCTTGAGCGGTTTGACCAGATCGCAGAAGATGTCATGCTTGACCAACCTTTCTTTCCACCTTGGCAAAGCCTCTGTTCTGGTAGCCACGTAGTCACAAGTCGACCGAAAAATAAGGGACCCTCGAAGAAAGGAACATAAATCAGGCGACTTCGCACCCAATGTGGGGTCGATATGATTTGCCCCAGAGCTGGACAAGGCTGGGGATTCCAAACCAGCACCTCCTACAGGGAACGCGTCCGAGAAGTTACGCAAATGCCACACTCCGACCAAAACGAAACAAGGCGGCTCCCGTTGGACAACAGAAAACTGCCTCAAGGATCCCTATACCGCCTGGTCCATCCCCAGCATGATTGACCATCTGTGTCTACCCTCCATCCGTCCGTGTGGCTTCCCAGCAATACCAAACATCAGATGTATTCCCAGAGATCCACAGATTCCCTGGATCAAACCTAGCGGAGGTTCCGCCGGCTTTCCACAAACCCCCAGCCTGGGCATCCGCCTCCTCTGTCTTGGCCACAGCCATCTCCTGGCTTTCTGTGGGAAGTGGCAAGGGCCCCTTTCTTGGGGGTGCTCCCTCACCCCATCCTTACTGGAAATCACGGCCAACCACGCTGGTTTGGACCCTCCACTCAGAAACCCCTTACACTGGTGAGTGGGGATCATGGCAAACTATGCTGACTTGGACCCTGCCTGCACTCAGAAAGTCACTAGCACGGGGCAACGGAACGCTAAAATATGCGAAAATCGCTTTGATCCACGCTCGTCAGTCGGGGATGCATGACTCGGAGAAGTGGCACCTGCCCATACAGCCTGTAGTTCACCAATCTCATTTCGACCCCCCCAAAGTGGCTGGTTGAAGGGAGAAACGCGGGAACTCTGACTTTGACAAGCCACATGAACAATCAACACACATGGACCAATGCAGTGGTTGTGAGTAAATGAGACAACTGCAGGCCCGCTCTTGGAGCAAACAAACCAGCAGGGAATACGAAAGAGCAGGGATACCAGGCCAGGGATACCAGGCAAACCCAGGGCCAATCCATTAGCAGTGGCCCCGAGCATCCCTTCCAAGGCTTTTCTTTTGACTGTGTCTTTGAAAGAACATGAAGAGACTTCGTAAAGGGCGTTTCGACTCTTTGGAGATCTTCAGAGGGCCATTAATTTTAACAGGGAACCACCTCAAACGTCATTGGTGGACATGAATCCCGACCTAAATGATGTCCACCATTTCGGGACCCTAATCGAAATTCATACCCATACGCTTCCCCAAAAGAGGGTCTACTTCTGCGAGTTGAACGCCTATAGCTTAGGAAACAAAGGCCTCCCACCAGTCAGAGTCAGAGCCCGCGGCCCCACGGTTCTGAGTCATCAAAAGTCGGGTGCTGCCCTCTTTGCCGCTCTTGTCGTCCCGTCCTTCTCCATGTCGTTCGTCAGAGTGTCCATCATCTTCATCACCCCGTTGCTCTCCTACACCCACTTCCAGTTCCGGACAGGCGATTCAATCGCCTGGTCCCAAGAAAGACAGGCCCAAGTGTGGCACAAAATGCCAAGGAGGGTGGGAGGCACCTGTTTCACCAGCTCGTGAGACCTGAACTACACAACCCCGCACAATGCCGAAAGCAATCCGAACCAATTGAGGGCATAGTGTGCCGTTCAGAGGCTTGCCACTCGGAGCATGAGTAGCTGGGTCACAAGTAAACCAATGACAATTGAAGACAAACCTATCTGAAAAAGTGTCATCGACCAGCAAACACAAATCTATCACTGAATCCCAAAGCTGAAACACATCGCTCCTGCTGAACTGGCAAACGTTGCATGGCGGCTTCTAAGTTATGGCCGCAAGTAGCAGCTTGAGAGAGGGATATTGTCAGACGCTGTCATTGCTTTGTTTGTTTGTTTGTTTTGTTTTTCCCTTCCGCAAGCACAACTGACAGGAGGTACGTCCAACCCTTGTGGAATCTTCATGTTCCCTGTTCTGCACCGTCCAAAACATCGACTTGTCAGGTGAATGACCACGTCCAACGAACACACGGCAAGCGCCCACTTCCCTATGGCACAGACTTGGAAGCGTGATGTTGAGGCTGAGGTCCGCGGCTCGGGACCATGGCTCAGCATGGACTGAAAAGGTGAAAAGGTCACCCACCGGCGGGAGATGAGAGAGAATTGATACAAGCACTGGCGTTTGGGTTGAGTCCAAGCAACCTCTAGTTTGTTTAGGTATCCACAGTTTCCACTAAGATGCACTCAGTCCTGATATTGGAACTGCCATGCAACATGTGTCAGCTTGCGCTGCCTCTATGACACATATCAAACAACCAACAACAACACTTGAAGGACAATACATGAATGAGGCCCAACACAAAACATGTCAATGATCCAACAACACACATACTAAGCGTTTGCGAATTCAACCGACAAGTCGCTGGTCCCAAAGGCATATGACCTCGGCTAAAAACACAAACTTTATACAAATGCACACACACACGGACCAAACGGAGACAACCAAATGGTGAAAAGGGCGGTGTTGGACAACCCTCCAGCCGCCCAATCCACTTCTGTATCTTGAATACAGGCTTCCTCACTGGCCCCAGTAAGTGAGAAAACCACCCAGGTGTTGGTTGAACCACATCAATCAGACCCAAACATGTCCTGCATCTTGGTCTGGTAGCCTCCCTCCGGCAATGCCGGCGGCTGCTCGCCCTGCAAAGTGATCAGAAGCCCACCCTGGCCTTCATCCAAGGAATCTAAGAGCAGCCCACGGGTCCATAACATCACTACGGAAATCAACCTGGAGAATGGCCCTGCCTGCAAGAAATGATATATGGATAATGTGGGCCTCCCAAATGGTAGAGTAACCAGCGAGCCAAGGACCGCTTGCTTCCACGCCTTCAGCTGCAGCAGGGACAAATCCTCAGGCGCCAACCCCCTTTCCCAAAAGCTGTGCTAGGGCCTGAGGGTTTTGTTGAGGCGGTCCGAGGTAAGGTTCCGCGCGAGGGTTCCACCCGGTTCCACCAGCGTTCCACGAGGTTCTGCGAGGGCTACGGGGTGGTGCGAGCACTAGAAAGAGCACCGCATGCTGTTGGGGATATCGCCTGAGCTTATTCTTGACGTTTCGCACGTGCGTGCAATGCCCGATAAACCCTCTGCAAGGATTGTACGCCTCGAAGCGCTCTCACTGTGGCCGTGCGAAGTCGTAGGTTGCTCGATGAGCCCTCTGTGAGGATTGCGCGTGGCAAAGCGCCCTCGCGGATCGCGTGAACTCGCAAAGCGCCCAGTAAATCCGTATCTGCAAAAACAAAAGTGTGCGTCGCAACCACCCGTGCAGCCTTCCGCACCCGAGGCGCCACCTTTCCCGCTGGGAGGGTTCCTTCTGTGCCGGCACACGCCACTATTCTTATAGCCTTGGGCAAGTCAGCTTCAGGGGTCTGCTGCTGCCTTCTTCGGCAGCTCGTGCAGGCAAGTCTTGTGAAATTCATTAGTTGCTTGCTCGCTAGGAAGCAGTGGCACATGCTTTGGCACTTCGCTCAGATCATCGAACGATGATGACTCCATGTCCGTGATGGCTTTCACGTTAGCTGCCACAAGGCGCAGAGATGCGCTGCGATCAAAGCCAAAGCAAAAGCTCGCGCAGTTGTTTTTTCGCCCGGGCCGTCCGGCAATTGTCTGGTCCGCTCCGCCTGCCAGCAAAGGGTGTTGAGCTACATGTTTTCACACAGCGCAGCGCGCGCAGTGTCCGCCCATTGCCGCTGCACCTCTTGCAGGCGAACGCACCAGGTCTCACATTGGCGTGTCATGCTAATTGTCGTGGTGTCAAAGGGCCATGAACGGCTCGGCGCGTGGGGTTGTGGGTGCAGGTGTGGGTGTCTCTCTGTGTGTTTGTTTGCGTGTGTGTTTGAGTTTGTTTTTGTGTGTTGTATGTGTTTGCGCGCGCGCCCGTTCGCACGCCTGCTTCCAAGGGGAAACCCAATCAAGTGCAACTTGCTAAGCACCGTGTATACTCTCCATGGCAACGATCTACAACCTGCGCCAATACAACATCAAGGGTTGGTATTTAAATCGTCTGCCCAGAGCTGTTCAAAGAATAAAAACGGCTAGCCCCTTTTATGGCCGGGGCTATCCCCTATACTGACCTTCATCTATCCGGAAATTGATTGCGGCTCACCTGAGCGAGAGACTGCGCAATCGCATGCATAATGTTCAGCGGGGTGTTGTGTTTTGTGAGCCGTCGCCCTCCAGAGGACTGCAAAACCACAGTTTTGCGCGAAACGCCATTACTATGGTGATCGAACGCACGAAAACACACAAACACAAAAGCACAAACAAGGAAGCAGGCAGGCAAACAAACGACCAAGCGAACAAGTAAACAACAAACACACCAAACAAACACACAAACTAACAAGCGACAAACACACACAAACGCACTAACGCGCAAACATACAAACGTGTCCATACACAAACTCAGACACACACACACACACACGCAAATACACAAAAAACGCATCAACACAACAAGCAAGCAAGCAAGCAAGCAAGCAAGCAAGCAAGCAAGCAAGCAAGCAAGCAAGCTAACTAACTAACTAACTAACTAACTAACTAACTAACTAACTAACTAACATACCAACAAAGACACCAACATACAACCGCACACACACACAAACACAAACACATACACAGGCGTGCGGGCGCTTGTGCAAAAACACAAACACACGGAAGACACGCGCACGCAACCACGCGAGTGCAAACACAGTCTTGTTGACACAAATACAGCACGGACACACAAACCTATAGAAGCGCACGTGGCAAAATAAACACACGCGCACACAGACATGTTGACGCAGAAACTATCGGCGTTCTGCCCAGGTGCATATGGGCTCTTCGTGGTGGTTGCGGCGACCATGCTTGGGTTGTAGACCTCCGTCGAGCTCATTTCACAGCCATCATGGGTTCAAAGCGGGAATAGAATAGAAGAGCTATGACATGACCTCGAACATGCTACACCACAAGTCTTGGGCCTTACGCCAGCAGTTCATGACACCGCGCATGCCACGATGGACGGAGTCATCGCGCTGGGTCGATCAAGCGCCTTGTTGAGGCGGTTCTTGGCCATGCTCAGCAGCTCCAGCGCCGCGGAGTTGGAGGCGGTGCTCTCCTTGCCGCAGGTCCGGAGAAACGCACGGGGCAGGGTGCGTGACTGATTGGCTGCTCCCAGTCTGGCAGTCTGGCGCGGTGTTGCGGGTTTAGGGTTTTTCACACCAATTACGTTACTGCGAACAATCCTCAGAAACTTGCTTGACTATACTAGACTGCAACCACACAGGCACCCAAAAAACAATCCGGCTACGTGCGGGGGCTCAAACATGCTTCTGGCTGATGCGACGGCGAAGAAACTCAGGAAACCAAAATGGAACCAAGGCAGCGAAAACCTCCCTGCTCAATAGCTGGCCGCAGCTGTTAGCAGATTCCTTCATCCGGGGCAGGATCAGGCAAGCTCATCACCTTTTAGCCTCAAGATCCAACTACATG